CCAATAAATGTTTGAAATAAGCAAAATAGGCAAAAAAAAGCAATTTGCCTTTAATCCGAGCTTTAATCATGTTAATGAACAACTATCCCAAAACATTTTTTGAGCCGGTCATAAAACGAAGAATAAACTAAATTACAATTCAACTAATTGGAACAACAAGAATAAAAAAGAAGGCAAAATCAAATATACAGGGTGATTCAAAATTGGCGTCATTCCTCCTGAGGTGTTGCCTTAAGAGTACAGAAAAAATAGTAAAAAAAAATTCAATGTTATTAAAAACTCAGATATTTGCAAAAAACTAGATCAGAAGGATGGCAACAATGTTATTCAAGGTAATCTGCCTAATTAACATTACGTAAATACCTGTTCCTGCGTAATTACTAAAAACTTCGGTAACCATGGATAAACATGAAGCAAAGAAAATAAAAGAGACAATAACATCCGTTGAGGTCGGTGACTAACGGTGTCACCTTGCGATCAGTGCTGCCAGTTTTTGGCAGGGCAAATGAGTGATATACCTAAATAGGTTATCCAACTGTTAAAGGTTATGTATTGATATTGAAGGAAAGCATTGACCACAAATGTTTGTTATTATTGACAAAAGCTGTCTACCTGTAACTATCTGTTAATGACAAAAAACATCATTGCCGCTTTTATTTTTCATGCAAAAACTGTAGAAGAGTACTTTTTTAATATCAAAAATGTCTTTTCTTTTCGAATGCTTAAGTATTCCAATAAGCTTCCAATGAAACGTGGGAGCTCTTCAAAATAATGCTTAATAACAAAGTTGAAATTCGATCTTCAACTGTTAATATCTTCTTAAAATTCTGTAAAAAAAATTTTCAAAATTTTTCTTGTACTCTCTAAGTGGTCCCCTATATACCCTTAAAAGGAATGACGTCAATTTTGAATCCCCCTGTATATAATTCCCCAGTATATTCCTGAGATTAACTCAAAAATATTGAATATTTTTAAACTACATAATATTAGCTTAGCACAAAAAACTAAAAACCTCTTAGCAATTGAATGTTTGCAAAATTTGTGATTATTAGACACACCAAATGCGGTCTCCAAAGTAGACTGATAGGACTGTGCTGACACATGCATAGGTCAAACAGGACAATATTTCAAGGAAACAATATACGAACATAAATACAGAATAAGGAAAAAATAACGAAAATCGAACAACACTAGCAAAACAAGAACACCAAACGTTACATAATTTCGATTTTGACAAAACACAAAAATACTGATTAATGAAAATAATTATCATGAGAGAAAAGTCTATATGATACAAATAAAAAAACAGCAAAGCCATGAATTTTAGATCATATACAGACAATCTAAGCTCACTATATCMAACATTAATTAAATGGAAAATGAAACAAACATGAAACATTAACACTCAGCATATTGAAAGTATGCAAACCAAAAATAGTGTTTTATGAATGTAAAGGTCAAATAGGTGAGATACTTAAGAGGTAAAATAATTTAAGATTCTAGAAGATGAAATTCTCGTATTTTACCAATTTTTGTATTCCTGATTCCTTACCTTCAGTTTTAATAATTTTATAGTGTTTTAGTATTAATGATGACAAGCTGTGAAAATAAACAATGCCAAAATATTATAATAGTTCATATGTTAAGGGGACAAAATGTTTTAACAATTGTAACAACCAAACTGAAGATGTTATATTGTGAAAATAGTTTATATTTGAAATAATTATTAATTTGAATAAGTGCWKTGACWRYTTAATYTAAKTKYWTTCAATTWRAATTTAATTTAAGYAGTGACTTAGCAGATTTGCAGCTTTTTCCGAGATATCTACAGGGCAATAATTTAAAAAAGTTGCAAAGAATGCAAAAACCTCCTGTAATATTTTATGAATCAATGATCTATTACTAAATTGCAAGAGGTGTTCGAAGTATTCTTGACAAAAGCTTTTCAAAAAACCATTTCAAAAAATGCCTTATTAACAAAGTTGAAATTCGATTTTCAACTGTTAATATCTTCTAGAAATTTTTTTCAATATTTTTTTTGTGCTCTCCAGTTGAGTCCCTATAACTATCCTTAAAAGAGATGACGCCAATTTTAAATCAGCCTGTCTTCGCAAAAAGTTGAATCTCTAATCTTCATTCAGATTAAGCTGTTAAATTTTTTTAGATATATTATGACAAAGATGTGAATTTTAAATAAGCATTTTGCAGTAAAAAATCTCACTTTCCTTTCACCCGTATGCAATAATTCCACTACTAAATTAATAAATATATTTGTATGTATTTAGATATTTAGGCATGGTGACAGAAACCCAGGAAAATCGCAACTATACCCAAGTAATGCATATTACGATGAGATGCACTATTATCCTTATGGATATGGACAGTTAACAAATGTATGTAGTCGTTTGAAACTATGTAGGTATAAGGTACAAAGAAGCAAGGTTTCGTAATTTATTTGTTACCAATAATGACACTACTAATCACTATAATATAATTTAGATATTCGTATAAGATATTTGAACAAAATACTTTTTTATGTTATGAATTAATGTTTATTTTGTATACTTTTTTATTCCTCTATTAATAAGTAAAATCACATAAAAAAAAATTTACAATAATAATGATACAGTGGTTTTGCTTTAATCTAATTATTTGGTCTAATCCCCTCTTTTAATTTATTTTTCTTACTTTTCGCAGTTAAATTTGTTAAATGATTTGGTAGCTTGTTGAATAATTCCATTGCTTTAATGTGGCTGTTTGTGCTACTTACTGCTTTCCATCTGATAGGAATTTGAATAAGTTTTTTTCTTGTATTTCTTTTTGAAGATGAATGCGTTCATTTTCAAAATAAAAGCTTAGCGATTCCAGTTTCTCCATTTGCTCAATATGAAGTAGGTTTCCTTGAGATACAAATTAAATTAATTTTAACAGTAGCAAATCACCGGAGTAAGCGCCCCCCAGGTAATAGTTCTACAGCTTATAACACTGTTGAAGAGGGCATGATAAATAAATATACATTTATTTATTAGTTATTTGTGAGACTTACGATATCTTACTTTTCGGTTCACTTGAAAAACCACCCCCAGGTATCAATCTGACATTCACTGACGTCAATATGACGTCATCTTTCGGTCATAATCGATCTTTAAAGTCATCTTACAATTTTGACCTGTAAATGACATACATGTCACGTCATTTACTAACGTCATTTACTAACCTGTGTACCGTCAATTTCTGACGTCAATATGACATCATTGACTATTTTAAAAATCAACAATTTTTCGCAAATGTTATTTATGCGCCTTGTAGTAATCAGAGTAAAAAATAAGAGGACAAAGCACAGAAACTGAGCATCGCTAGTTTTTGCAGTCGGCGTAATCGGTCGCACTTACGGTTTAATTTGCCAATAATTTGCAACAAATCAACAATTGACCTGATAATGACGTCAGCAATTGACATCATTAAGATGTCAGAAAATGGGCGTCATTAAGATGCCAGAAAAATTACGTTGAGATGTCCGTTTTCGACGTTATATATAAGAACACTATGTATAGATCGTAATTTTTTTTAGAATGGTAAAATCCGTATGTACGAACTAGGGAAAATAATTCGAAAACGGTACAACAATTTCTTAGGCAGTCAATGGAACATGAACGTCTTAGACATCAGAAGTACCGATTACAACAGAACAAAAATGTCTGCGCAACTAATGACAGCCGGATTGTGGCCTCCAAGAAGAATTAATATATGGAATCCAGTTTTTCGATGGCAACCTATACCTTATAATTATGAGAGAGCTGAAAATGACGAGGTACCAAATACAGATTCAAGGAGCTAATCTCCGCTTCCAAAATCAATAGGGTGTTTTCACTTTTTTTTAAATGTGATATATAGAAAGTAGTTTTGGCAAACATTGCACTGATATAATTTTTTTTGCAAAAAAGTCCCCATAATAATTTTCTTTGAATTTGAATTCATGAATTGAATTCTTGAATTTTTTTTGAATTTAAATTCAAATCAGATATTTTCCGCCCAAAACGCCGAATCCGTATCGTCGGTTGTCTATCTCGATTGTGACGTAGCAGGTCATATCAACGTATCAAGTGTCTCGTGTTTATTTTGTTGTTTTCGCAGCTTTGTTTTATTATTTAAGTTATTGTGATAATCATTATTTTATTGATAATTATTCTTAAGTTGCATAAGAATTGAAATATGCATTGAAAATAGTGACATTTATGGATCACAAAATAAGTGGTGTTTTGTGCCTGGATACCAGACAGAATATGCCTTCAATCGTACTTTGTGTTCTGGGAAAATTCTACATTGTACAGTGCACAAAGAACCCTCGCGTTTCAATTCCACATATCCGATATCACCATATTCTTATCGTGATGCCCAAAATGCAAATTTAAGAGTTTTACTTTTAAAGCAGGTTATAGGTTAGGTTAAGTTGAATAAGTTAAATTCTATATATTATTTTCCTAATTTAAACCAATACACACAGATTAGTATATTAAGGAGAGAATCACTAATAATTAATTTACGGATTTTTACTTACGCTGCTGCTTTGGCACTCTTAGATACGGCTGAATTAAAGCGTTCGTCGTTTTTTAAAAATTAGCTAACCATAAAAATATGTACACATGGTAAATTGTTTGTTGACGCTTTAAGGAATCTTTCTAAAGCCATTTTTTAGTTTAACACAAACTATAATATATTTAAATCCACAAAATAATTAATGAAACACAACCACACAACTAAACATTATGCACAGAAAGTAAACAATCCGCCATTTATATGACCAGAGACGTCACAACCAATAGGATTGCGTTTTAGAGATTCATGAATAATTTGAATTTTAGATGAATTTGTTTATTAAATATTTAACAAAATAGAAATAGATAGATAGTATAAACTTATTTCATCTTTTATATATATATATTACCATAGATAAATGTTCAGTTTGTAGGAATATAATATTTTGATACAATGAAAACACCCTATTAAAGTCCTGATGCATTTTAGCTATTGTCACCTTGGTTGGCGTGTTCCACCGTTAACACTCTAATATCTGCCTTATTGGAAAGCACTGAACTGGGGAATTATATGTCTGAACGTTACAATGAGACACTACATATTTTATCTGAAAACACGGGGTTGGAAATGAGTTACCTGCAAGCGTTTCGTCTATATCTGGGATTTTCAATTCAGGTTTATACGCTTTATTTATTGAGTAAAGGGGATGAGTAGCAATATCATTAAATATAATTTTTGATCTTAACATGTGTTTTCAGGACGAACTAAATATGCCTTTAGAAGAATGGACATCGTCGGTTTATCCTGAACCATTACATTCTTTTGTTATCGATTATTACCACATCCGAACAAATACAACTGAACTGAAAAAAATTATTTCTGGTAAGACAGCATTCTAAACGATAAGCTGTGGAACCTTGAAAATTATAGCAGGGTTATTATGCTCTAAAGTTTTGCATAAGTAGTTCAGTCTGCATCAGTCTAGTCAGTAATGTACGAAAGTACGCAAACAACAATACTTCAAAGGTTCAAAATTGGCGTCATTCCTTTTAAGGGGTAATAGTATCATATTTGGAGGGTACGAGAAAAATATTAAAAACCGCTTTTTTTGATAATTTCTAGAAGATATTGACCAGTTGAAAATCGAATTTCAACTTAAGTATACTTAAGTATTATTTTGAAATTGTCTCATGTGTAATTGATGGCATATTGAAATACTTAAGCGTTCGAAAAGAAAATTTGCGCTCATTGCTTCAAATTACGAAAATTGTTTATATTAAAAAAGTTCTCTTCTAGAATTTTTTGATGAAAAATCACAGCGGCAATGATGTTTTTTTGTCATTAACAGATAGTTATAGGTAGATAGCCTTTGTCAATAATAACAAGCATTTGTCAAATTGGGACTTTCTTTGAAGCTCCTATCAAGAATTTGCGTGTATGCTATTAGTTCTGGGGAAATTCCACAGTAACATAACATAAGCTGTAACAACGCAACGCCAACAAAGGACTAGAGACACTAGAAGAGTGGCCCCAGGAAGATAGTGGACGGCCATAGATGTTCGCGTTCCACACACAGAGGAAGAAGTATTGGATAAACTGATTGACACTTGTCCAGGCATCCAATAAATACCAAATACCGGGGGCTACATTCCTACCACGCATGTAAGATAAATAGAGCACAAGGACACATTAAACCAATGGCTTACTGAACACAGGTACAAATTGACCAGGAGCTGATTAACCGAATACGAGAAACGGCTCGAGAAGAGTGCCTAATCAGGTGATTACAGACGCCCTAACTTGTTTGGAGTTAAAGACTCAAATGTATGTTTATTTGCAAACATATCAATTCGTTATGTTACAAGTTATGAGGACAATAATTGACATTTCGAAAAACTACGTTCCCACATTCAACGAATCCTGAGTTGAGGGAGTTGCTAATAATTACGAGGCAACAGGTATTTACATAATGTTACCCTTGAAAAACATTGTTGCCGCCTTTCTGATACAGTTTTTTGCCAAATTTAAAGTATTTAAAAACAATAATTTTTTTTACTATTTTCTCTGTTCTCCTAAAACACCCCTAGACAACACCTCCAGAGGAATGACGCCAATTTTGAATCACCCTGTATGTTCCACCAACATCAACTTATTTCATACGTTCACGATTTTCTACGTCTTCATTCACATGCTATAAGTAGCATATGTAATGTAACTGACTTTTGCCAATTGAGTAATTTGTTACCATTTCAATTTATAGGCTACTTGATAAAGCAAATTATCGAAAATACAGAAAACCAAATTAACGGAACACTAACACCAAATGGAAGAAAAATGTTTATTTATTCAGGACACGAAGCAAATATTGCTACATTGTTACTTTCGTTGCAAGCAACCAAAGTTGTGGACGTTCCTCCTTACGGATCGTTTATTATCATTGAAACTCATAAGATAGATGCTGTGTATGGAATTAAGGTAAGGCTATAAGGTAAGAAATCGGCCTATGTCGACAATCGTTCGATATTAGTGGAATCTATCGGTATGTGAATAAACAATAATTTCTAAATGCGTTTATGCATATTTGAGAACTTTTAAGGAATTTAGCACTATTTCACTAAGTAGAATTATCTTATTTATAAAAATTTGTTTTAGTTGTATTATCAAGATTATAAAAATGACGACCCTCAAGAACTACAAATTACAGGATGTGATAAATTTTGCCCATTTGATGACTTCGTCACTTTATTTACTGATATATTACCAACCTCGACCAGTGAATGCTATGGTGTGTAGTTATAAGATATTCGATTTACTAGCTATACGGGTGTGAAAGGTACTATGCAATATGAAATATGTATTTTTTACAAACACCACTTTAGCATTGAATGCAAACGAGAACGTTACGCCCGTATGCACAGTCGATCGCAACGTTTCGCCGTTAACATATGCCGGTATAGCAAAGAGCAAGTGGGCAGCGAACTAACAGCGTTTTTTTAATTTAAGTAATTTTAATCTCTAAAGTGAGATTATTTTGCAATAGAAAATTTACATTGTTAAATCCTTATACTATATTTTTTCTTAAAACAAAAACATTTACTACATACTTAATTACGTACTATATTTTTTTTACTAACGGCGTTATATTCAATTCTGCATCCAAAATATCTCGATGTACAGGGTGTTTCCTCATAAGTTGACCCCCCTAGATCACTAATTTAAAAAAATTGTGACTGACCAACACAAAAGATGTTTAAATTTAATATTTTTTTTTTCAATCTGAAATAAAAATATAAAATACAAAAATGTCAAAATTTGACAACATTTTTTTTAATGAAACACCCGATATATTTTTAGACGTACCAATAGGATTTTTTTCCTGATTTCAAAAATATTTATTTGGCCTACATTTTTTTGTATTACCCTTTTTTCCTATAAAAATTATAAATAGCAACAAATAAAAATATTTATTAATTAATTACTTAAAGAATATTGTGTATGAGAGTCTAGTTAGAAGCCTAAAAAAAGTGGATGCAATTAACGATATTAATATTAATCATAACTAATATATTCAAAACGTTATCGATAAAATGCAAGTCGATTATAGAGCGTGTCTAGCCTCTAATAATCTCTCTAATTTTGTATATGACCTCTAACAGAGGTCATATACAAAATCAGTGATTTTTATGATTTTGTTTTGACATTTATAGTAGCAATAAATTCCGTTATGTTGTCTTTATAATTTTTGGGTCATTTCAGGCTAATTTAGTTTGCTGCTATGCAAAATTTTTAAAACATAATACAGAAAAAACGGCTAATACAAACATTGGTAATATATATACTTCTGCAATAAGGAAAAAATCGAATCGACCTGCCTAAAAATATATAGAAACAATATTTCGAGATCTCGATCCATATTTAATAGCTCAAAATGATCTTAATACTTATATAACTTAACTTATACGAAAACATATTGTACCGTGGATGGCCGAGTATTTAAACTCTTT